GGGGGGGGGGGGGGGGGGGGGGGGGGGGACTCAGCCCAAGAGAGTGACACAAAGAGAGGACAGTGGAGAGAGGAGATCGAAGAGAAAGAAAAATGGTGTCTAGACGTAATAAGCACGAGCAGGAATGTGGCGAGAAACCGTCACGTCATGCATCGGAGCAGATTTTGAGCTGGAATCTGAGACGAGCTGCGAGCGCTGCCGGGTCAGTGTCCACGAGACGTCAGCCGCCAAACGAAACCCGAAGCATTGCTGAGGAAACTCACAAGGGACAGGGAAGAATTTTTCCCACCAGATCAGTGAGCGTTCTTTAAAAAGAGCGGAGACAAGACGTCCATCACATCAATGATGCTGCTCGTTCGTTTGTTTGTCGTCGTTAAATGAAGGGCTTTAAATTTTGTTCCCCTGGGTCAAAGGTCGAGCTCACGGCGACCTCACGATCTCTTGAACACGATATCTCACGGAATTTCATTACCATGACCTAATGAGAATTTTAGTGGACAAGGGTCAAAGGTCAAAGTTGCCGTCCCCTCGCAACACATGTTTTTTGTGTTGTGAACGCAACAGCTCAGGAACGCTTTGAGGGAATGTCTTCAAATTTGGCACAAACATCCACTTGGACTCAAAGATGAACTGATTACGTTTTGGTTGTCGAAGGTCAAAGGTCAAGGCCACAGTGACCTTGTGTTCTTGGGATGTATCGGATTCACCCACAGGGAATTTCATTACATCTCGGCTCAAACGCTCACTTGGACTCGAGGACGATCTGATTACAACTTGGAGATCTAATGTCAAAGTCACTGTGGCCTTACAAAAGTTTTTTTTTGTGCTTCGTGAACGTGTCCGTTTAAGAACGTCTCGAGAGAATCCTCTCAAATCTGCCACTTGTTCACTTTCACGCACAGATTAACTGATTCGATTTCAGAAGTCAAAGGTCTTGTTGACATGGAATGCACTGGTTTGCGGAGGCCCACGAGCACAGTTCAGTCATTCCGGGTTCAAATCTCAGACCTCTGCCGACTTTAATCCTTGCTGCCCTTTAAGGTGAAGAATTCAAAGCTGGACACACTTCAGGCTGAAGTGAGTGTATTCGATGGAGGTAAACAAACTCAGCAACACTCTCAGAGGACGACTTACACTTGGGGACTGTGTGTGTACATGCAGATAAACAACCAGATGGTTAGAGTCTCTGTATCGGGCTGACACTCCGCCAGCTGGTTGTTCAAAAAAACAAAAAAAAACATGTCCAATATGGTAAATTTCACCCGTTCACTCATCGGCTGTCTGGACGGATCAGCCCTCAGCTCTTACTGCAGACCCCTCGGTAAATCTCCCCCCCCGCTCTCCTGGAGAAGGTCTGTGTAAACATCACCGCCGCTCCAGATGAATTTCTCATTACTCACCGTGACACACTCCAGCAGATCCCCTCTCCCGTGCCCACGACGAGAGAGCGAGCGGAGTTATGATTCATTTAAACAAAAAGAGGAAAGGGTCCCGCTCCGAGTTACTGCAATAAACACTGAAGTCCACGGCGGCGTGATTTTCTCCAAACCAAATTTGGCTCTATACCCTCCCCTCTGCGTAATTATTGTCAAAGCAGTCCTTGTACTTTTCAAAGCCGAGGCAGGGCATGTGTTCTGCAGAGGCTCGGGTACGGGGGCCGGCTGGAGACATGGCGGCGAAGCTCGGGGCCTCTTGGATTTTGGGCATTTTAAAGAGATGATTCTCGGAGGTCAGCGTGAAATCGCTGGCATTGTTTTTAAGCTTGAGAGAGGATAACTGACGCTCGTCCATCTGTTACGTCAGCGTTATCTGGGTATCACATGTTCTCCGAGATGTCTGACGTCCACGACAGCCGAATGTTATTGATGAGAAATTTGCGGAATGCACCCGTGACCGATCACGGTTTCTCTAAGCTGACTGAGATCTCTTCATCGTGAATTTGAAATCCAAACCTCGTGTGAATCTTCACAGCCCTCAAGAGCCGATCTGCGGGCTTCTGTAAAATTTAACCGTTTAAAAGTCGTCTGTCCCGTGAGCTCCATGCAAATCTCTCTGCCATTTTGAGTGTATTTGTTGGTAACATAACACTCCTGAGCTGAAGGGGCCACATTTGGACGTGGAGAGCCACAGTAATGTGCGGAGGAGACAGTGTGCCCCCTCCTCCTCCTCCTCCTCCTCCTCCTCCTCCTCCTCTCACGTTTCTGTTCCTCATCTCTGAATTTAATCAGATTCGTTTCTGCCTTTGTTTCATGACGTCCGATATTTCTGTGAGTGCACACCAGGAGAAAACTAGAGCAACAGGATCTTTCTTCGTCTTAATGCAAGTGACAATAATCAAGTGTAACGTGTTTTTATTTAAGTTTGACTCAATGTTTTTGCAGTTGGAAACGTTTTACTGGAAACTGAGTCGTTGGAAAAATGTTGTGCGGTGTTACTGAAAAAAGAATCATCTGGATAAATAACCAATAATCCAACAAAATCCTTGATATTCTTTGTAAATTCATAAATTTACACTCAAATAAACCAACTAATCAGTTTGTTTCAATATCTGAGCTCAACGAATTTTCCTGGAACAATATAATCAATAATAAATAACGGTTTTCCTTTTGCTCCTCAGCCTGTGATGACAAACACTGGGGCCGAAACTGCAGTAATCAGTGCAAGTGTGAGAACGGAGCGCTGTGCGATCCAGTGAAGGGGACGTGTCAGTGTCCCCCGGGCTTCATAGGACGCCACTGCGAGGACTCGTGTCCAGCGGGCAGCTTTGGGAAGGGCTGTCTGCAGAGGTGCAAGTGTGGGACCGGAGGATCCTGTGATCGACAAACAGGAGAGTGCTCCTGTCGGGGAGGATTCACCGGGACATTGTAAGTGCACGGAAAAATAGTTGATAGGTGTTTAGGATGTGAGGAGATTTTCAAAAACGCTGGTTTTATGGAGACGAACATTACATTTGGATCCACCCAGATTTAGATTCACGCCACACTTTAAAGTGTTCTTCCCTGACCACCAGCTATTTTAAAAATCAAGATTCATTAATTAAGATATTTGGTCATAAATGCTTTGAAAGATATTCGATCACAATTGAATGAGTTCTCTCTCGTCACGTATCCTGTCCTTCCTCTAAGTTTTGTAGTTTTTGTGTAATCCTGCTGAAAAACAAACCAACAGTCGCACGGGGGTTGGATTTAGGTTTTTTTCCCCCTCAAAAGGCAATTTGAAGCAAGCGTGTAAACAAAGCAGTCGACAGCTCATCAGATGATCATCTGGATTTTTCACCACAAATATCAACCTCATGGTGAAAGTCAGAGCATCATCAATATAATTACAATTTGTCCTCCGGGGATCTTGAAGGTCTGAAACTAATCTCCTAACATCCAACAGTTGTTGAGATATTTCAACCAACTGAGAGCTCGGACATCTGCAGAGCCTTAATACCAGAGTACGCAGCATTTACACACTTTCCCTTTTTAGTATGCGAGCCGTTTTTTAAAGTATGTACAGTGGATTGTTTCTTTTGGAAAACACACAACTCTTCATTACACATCACTTCTCAGAAGCTCTGTCAGATCTTTCACTATTTTTCCACAACTTTTAACATGAAAAAAAAAAAACTGCAGTACAATCCATGAGTCATCAGTTACGCCCAAATATTTAGATGCCCCTGAGGACGAGTACGAAATGAAAAATTCCTGCACACTGGACATTAGTGGAAACTGCTCCGCTGCCAATGTGAAAGCTCAACACTCCACTTTAAGCTAAATGAAACTTGGCAACGCTGATAGTGGGACGGAGCTCCGCGATGAAATCTGAAGTGCGTCCACGTTCTTTCACCTCCAGGGTGAGATAGAGAATACGACGTCCTCAGGATGAACCGTGCTCCAGGTACTTCAAGCCAAGTAATCTGACTGGTCAAAGACGCGTTCCACTCGTGCTGATGATTCCCACAAGCCCGTTGTACTGCCAGGTCTCTTACTAACGATGGAGCTACTGTTTCTTTCTTTCGCTCTTTTCTTCAGAAGACTTAGCTGCACGTTAACAGGCGCCAATATTTGTGCATTTTTTGCAGCATCACAGATTTAAGCATTTAAGTATCGTAAAGTGAAAATCACTTGAGCCCAGCGGTAGAAAGAAAGACTGAAAATACTCACGAAGCAAAATGGCCAACTTCAGATTACAGTATATTATGTTATAGTAAGTAATTTATCAACTTGTGGTTTTCAATCCAGGGTGCATAAAGTTTTATCTGTAATAACACATCATATATTTCTTTATCTGCATTATCCAATATAAAATTATTAAACAACACTGAAGTAAGAAAAGGAATTGTTACGGAATTGTGGAAAGGAAGAATAAAACTATGGAGGATATTAATAGTACATGTACAAGTGCAGTGAAATAATAATCTTAAATTAATTTGGAATCTTTTAATCTACTATTTGGAATTTTGATTTTTATAAAACATCGCCCATATAAAACAGTAGAAATAGGGAAATACTCAAAGTACACAAACAGTACAGTACTGGAGTAAATGTACTTGTTTTAAAGCTTCATCAGAGTTTTAAATAACCACCATCTTCCTCCTCCTCTGCAGCTGTGAGACGGCGTGTTCCAGGAAGTGTCAGGCACGCTGCCCCTGCCAGAACGACGGTATCTGTCGGGGCAAAGGGTTCTGTGACTGCCCCCCTGGATGGACGGTAGGTTTTTTTTTTTTAAATAAAAAGTTTTTAAAAAGCATTTGCAGTGACAACAACCTTCACGTAATCCGTGGAGGTTTCTCAATTTCATATGAGCTCATGTGTTCTGCTCCAGCTGGCTCCAAACTCCGAGGCCTCTTTCTCAACACTGACACTCTGACAGCAAAGTGTCGTCTCAGGATTAATTTCAGATTCACGAGTTCTCTTTGTTTTTTTGGAAAACGTGCAAAAGATGAGGACACGTGATTATGCGATCTCAGCAGGGAGCAAACGATTCAGTTATATTCTGAGAAACGGTATAAAGTCAAATTGTCTCATTCCAGTTTCTGATGACACACACACACACACACACACACACACACACACACAAGTTTGGCGTTTTCTCTTTCTGCCTCTTGAGTGTTTTTCCCTCGTCTCTCTGCAGGGGGCGGTCTGCACGGAGCGATGCTCAGAGGGATGGTTTGGACCGAACTGTAAAGAGGAGTGTGTTTGTCACAACAGGGGGAAGTGCGACCCAGAAACTGGACAGTGCCAGTGCGCTAAAGGTTTCACCGGTAACAGGTGTGTATGTGAAAATGCAGAGTGCGGGTCTGTGTTAACTTTATTTCACGTTTGCGTTCAGCCACTCTGGATCCTCTCAGGAGATTTCCCAGATTTCAGTGCAGGTCTAAAAAGCAGCTTTATGATCAGTCACAGCTTCTAGCTCATCTGGAAAAGAAGATCCAGAACACGAACCTGTCTCCTCAACACGTCGTCCTCCGTCAGAGACACTCTGCTCAGACGTTCGTTCTTCCGTTTGATGTGCTTTGATAGAAATCATTGCAGACCGGTGTTTGCATTGTGCCGACGTCACGTTACACGTTTTCTGTTCGGTGAGCTGTTGTTCATTTAAAACCCTTTGTCTGTTTTTTGTTTCTCCAAATATTCTGAGTGTGTAACAAACAGCAGAGACAGAAGATTTCAGACTAATGTTGAACATCACGCTGGCTCGCCGCAACTCAAAACCAAACTCTGGTTTGTGGTTCATGTCCCAGTGGACAACAGACAGGTTCGCGTGTGTCATTTTCCCATTTGTCGAGCTCTCGTGTGCGTCTACACAACCCTCTGTGTTGTGCCCTCAGGTGCAACGAGGAGTGTGCGGCAGGCAGTTACGGTCAGGACTGTGGCAGCGTGTGCGACTGTGCAAACGGCGCTCGCTGTTACAACATCGACGGAGGCTGTCTGTGCGAGCCGGGCTTCAGGGGCCCGCACTGCAGGGACAGGATGTGCGCCCCCGGCAAATACGGCATGCAGTGTGAACACACGTGTCTCTGCGAGGACAAACACACACTCAGGTGAGTCGCACGAGGGTTTTTAAAGATACACAAACATTCCAGTCAGGCGGTGGAACGCTGGAACGGTCAGTAAAGTGGGTTTTTGACCTTGTGCAGATCTGGTATTAACATCAGGGACGCACGAGGCCGCGTTGTTTTCATAGTGTGAACGCAAACGTGTGCTGGTCCAGATTAGACGAGCCTGACGACCTCCGACCTGCTGCAGTTTCACAATGAATCAAAAGTATTTCGTTGGAGCCACGAGCTCAGCATCAACACTGATCACCGCCGAGTGTCTGATGACGATTGATAAAAGTCTTTTCCTCAGAGAAACTCACACAACACATCTGTAAACTTCCAGGACACGTTTTAAAGCCGGTGTGAACAGAACAACTTAACAGCTGATTAATGACGTAAACACGGATCTCACCTCTGGAACACGTCTGTTGATCTCACCGTGTTTCCAGCGGTGACTTATCAGCTCACAGCTTCTGTTCCTTCAGGTCGGGTTAGTGTTAGCTAACTGTTAGCTAACAACATTAGCTCTTTACCTGGTTCAGCTGTTTGAAGCTCCGCCCACTCAGGTGTTACACTTCCTGTCAGGAGCACGAGGGCGGGAACAAACTCTGCTTGAGTGACATCTCCCTCAGTCTCCTCCTTGTTTTAGTTTTATTCATGTCATAAGAAATATGAAGCAAGATTTAATGTGTTGGTTATGAGTCTCCACATTTACATTTAACAAAGTTTAACATGTTAATGTGGCGACAATTTAAAACCTGAAATCAGACTGATGGTGCGTTCAAGTGGTGAACTTAATTTTTTTATCTATAAGTTTATTTCATTCAACGAAACGATTGAAATGCAAACAGAAAATCTCAAATCTTGAATGAAAAGGAGCAGAAAGAAGAATGATCTGATGTAATCTGCCCCTCTTTCACAAGACAAAGCAAATTCTCCAGTAAAATAACTAATAATTCAAAAAAGCACAAGCACCTTCCACTTTTGGCCCAAACAGTTATTGTCATGATAACCGTGCATATATAAAATATGCCCGTCACATCCGATCCTTTGTTATCCTGCGTATTTTGGAAAGATTTGTGGAGGTACTGTTTCAACGCTCTGATCACATTTTGTTTACACCCTTCATTTGGAATTTCATCACGTGTCCCTCTGCTTCTCATGTGCAGCTGCCATCCAATGAAAGGAGAGTGCACGTGCCAGCCGGGCTGGGCAGGACTGTACTGCAACGAGAAGTGCGCTCATGGTTTCTATGGTCACGGTTGCCTGGAGCCGTGTCTGTGTGTGAATGGAGGGGTGTGTCATAGCGCCACTGGGCGATGCCAGTGTGCCCCGGGGTTCACGGTGAGTCGTGCGTTGGATGAGCTGATAAATCGGGTTTGAGAACTCAGATCTGTTTTTATTGTACATGTAACATCGAGATCTCACTCATCATCTGCCTGATTGAAGTTGATGTCATTATTATCTATTCTTGCAGGGGGTTCATTGTGAGAGTCCGTGTAAAAGCGGCACCTACGGCAAAAACTGCTCCCTGGAGTGTTCCTGTAAGAACTCTGTCGACTGCTCAGCCATCGACGGGATGTGCTTCTGCAAAGAGGGTAAACACAGCGTTGAGAGTCTGACCCGTTGACTGAGCGGGTGAACTCATCACTGGGACCAGTCCAGCTGATGGTTCCTCATGTGTCTGCAGGCTGGCGAGGAGTGGACTGTTCCACCCCGTGCTCTGAGGGAACCTGGGGCCCAGGATGCAACGCCACCTGCCACTGCGCCAATGGGGCAAAATGTCACCCCGCAGACGGATCCTGCACCTGCACCGCCGGCTGGCAGGGGCCGCACTGTGACCAGCCATGCCCTGTGAGTACATGAGGCTTTCCGGCTTCATTTACTTGTAATTATGTCGGAAGCAAACTGAAAGATCCATCAGACTTAAACTACAATGGAATTTTTTTTCGTAGCAAACCTTGAACATTAGATACACGAAGAAGGAAATATAATTATTTAAAGAAAGCAATCACTCTACATAGGAAGTATTCAAACTAGAACTAGAACCTCCAGTGACCACGCTATCACACTACGACAAAACTTTAAGTCATAAAAACTCAAACATGTTCAAACTGCAGGAAGGTGAGATGAACTTTTTTCAACCTGGATAAAATGAATGAGCCCAAAACACTTAATATTGTATAATAT